CCCTCACCTTCTCCAGGAGCATGTTGCCTCGCTCCTTCAGCAGGCAGTTGATCATGACCGTGGCGGCCCGAGAACAGTTCTTGTCGGGGTCTCCCAGCCCCTCAAACATGGTCAGCAAGAGGCTGATGAGTTGCTCTGGCGGGAGGCGCTTGGCAATGATCTAGGAGGACGGCTGTGTCAGAGGAACTAAGAGGGTGGGGGCCAGCGCCCTCCCAGACACAACACCCCCGGGTCTGGGGCTGCCCGGAGGGCTTGCCCCACTTCCGCCCGCCTACGCCCCTCCTCCAGCCTTCCTCGCCCTGTCCGGAGCGCCAGGGTCGGGTGGTGGCTCACACCGGAGCCTCGTCCGCACTGAAGCCCTGAAGCCCGGCCAGGCTGCGGACACGGCCCCCAGGGCCAACCTGACCCCGGCCCCTGGAAGGTGGTCCGAGCGCCCTGCGGGGGCAGGGGGAGACCGCAGCGGCTCCGGAGCTCTCCAGACTAGGGTCAAGGGCAGAGGGTAGCACAGCCCACCCAACAGTGCCCTCCTCGCCCTCTCGGCCCAGCAGAGCCCCCGTTCAAGTGGAGAAGCAGCACCCAGGCTGGAGGAGGTCACCAAACCACACACACTGCCACGCGCAGAAAGGTGGCTGGACATGCTCCACCTCTCACCCCAGCCACACACATCCTTGCCACTCCACCTGGACTGGCCTAGGGCTGGGTCTTCGCCTCCCAGCGTCTGAGTAAGACCCTCCCTTCTTCCTCCTGTAGGGGAGCCAGCCTCCGGACCCCGAGGGTCTTTTCCAGACACCAAATGGAAGACGAGACCTGCCCTGGCATGGGGACTCATGGGGGAGGCTGGGGCGGCTTTCTCAGCTCCTTGGAGTCGCCGCTGAGCTCCTGACCACACCCCTGCTGCTGGGCCTCAGAGGGTAGACCCCAGGGAGAGGGAAGCAGTGCTGGCCAGAGGCGGTGCCGGACAGCTCACTGTCTGAATGACACCTGCCTCTGTGCCCAGTCTCGGCGCCGTGCCCACTAGCCCCACGCTGCCCCTGCCAGCACCCTGCCGAGCCCAGGACATGCAAGGTACTGCCTGCTCGGAGAGCCCCTCTCTGCCCCCCCCAGTGCTGGCCGCTCCCGTCCTTTGTGGCTGCTCCCACAGGTACCTGGGCTATGCTGTGACAGGTGTGGAAGAGGATGGCAGGGTCGGGGTGCGCGAGTCCTTCTTTGAGGGTGAGGAGCCGCTCAACCACATCATCCCGGTAGTCGCGGGAGAAGCCTTCAGAGGCAGGATGCAGAGTGGAGCTGGGCAGGCACTTCCCCGGCCCCCAAGGCCCAGCCTCGGCCCCTCACCCCTCCAGCACCTCTGCCCAGCCGGGGCTCACCCTCGTAGCCCAGGTGCAGGTAGAGCAGGGCATACACGCAGCTTACAGCCTCCTGGCGGGTGGCAGGCCACAGGTCCGCACAGCGAGGCGAGAAGAGGCCTATGAGGACGCCCAGGTTGTGGAAGGGCACCAGGGCCTGTAGAGGCAGAGGGGGAGGGTCCTGCAGAGACACTCGGGGGGTAGCCAGAGAGGGGGACCGGGACCCTGCGGATGCCAGGGGTGGGCAGGGACCACCTGGACCACCTGGACCCAGATATGGGCAGGAATGTGGCCAGTACAGCCCCTTGGTGAGCTCCTCCCCACCCCCACCCCCGGAGGAGGAGGGGTCCTAAGAGGAGGAGGGCCAGGTAAGTAGGTGTGTGCAAACAGAGGGACGATCAGGAGATAAAGGGGGAGTCCCCACAAGATAGCAGAGGGGGGCAGGGCCCTGCTGATCCTGGCTGATAGCTGTGGGGAGTTCTCTTCCCTAGAAAGCAGGTCCCCTGTCAGGTGAGGGGCTGCAAGAGATTCCCTTTCCTCCTAGCTGGGTCCCGGTCTTCACCCCTCAGATACAGAGCCTTGCCCACTCTGCTCTAAGCCAATGGCCTTGCCTGCCCTGGGCCTTGTGGCATCACTTACACACCCCTCAGCCTCCTGCCCCCCCCCCCTCCCCGCAGGCCCTGCCCATGCACAGGCTTAAGAAAGCGCAGGACTCTGCCTGAGAGCCCTCAGCCCAGCTGCCAGCTGAAGTGAGTATTCAGTAGAGGGAGGCCAGCATGCTGGGCAGAGCACCTCGGGGGGCCAGCTGCAGTTCCTCCCAGCGAGGTCACACATCTGTCACCTCATGGTGACAAGGGTGAACTCTAGTTGGACTGGGATTGTGTGAAAAGAAGGCTATGGAAGAATCTGAGTGGGAAAAGCCCACCTAGGCACACACAGCAGATCTGGCCAGGTAAAGAATGAAAGTTTGGGTGTGTTAACAAACACACACAAGAGAAACAACCACAAGAAACATCCTCAGTAAAACAGATGCTCCCAGGACACGAGCAGAAGTAACGAGCAGTGAAACTCTATCTAAAGACCGGGGGCTGCTGTGTGCGCCTCGTTCTGGAAGCACTAGGACAGGAGGGGCTCAGAGACACAGGTACTGGGGGAAAAGAGCAGAATTATCAGCATCTGTAAACGACACAACTGTGTGTCTGAAAGTGCAAGAGCGTTAACTAAAACTCATCAGAAATAACAAAAGAATCCTATAAACGACCTCACTGCTAAGTATCCACAAGTCCACACTTCTCATATATCCCGACAATAAGCAATTAGTAAATGCAGCTGCAGAAACAGTTACGCTGACAAAAGCAACAAAACCTCTCGAACCAGCCTGTGTGGCCGTGTGCAGACACGGGCCGTGCGCAGACACGGGCCGTGCATCTGAGGGGCCTGGATGGAAAGACCCATTATTAAAAGATGCTCTTGGGGGCGCCTGGGTGGCTCAGTCGTTAAGCGTCTGCCTTCGGCTCAGGTCATGATCCCGGGGTCCTGGGATCGAGCCCTGCATCGGGCTCCCTGCTCAGCAGGAAGCCTGCTTCTCCCTCTCCCGCTCCCCCTGCTCGTGTTCTCACTTGCTCTGCCCTCTCCCTTTCAAATAAATTTAAAATCTTTAAAAAAATAAATAAAAGATGCTATTGCCCAACAAATTAATCCGTCAATTCCATGCAATTCCTACCAAAATCCAAAATCACAACAGGAGTATTTTAGGACTGTGTCAAATTTATCCTAAAATCACCTAGACTGATGACCTTGTAAGAACCACCATGAAACTGACAAAGTGTAGCAAGAGCTCCTTCACCCCAGCAAATATTAAAATGCATAACAATGTGCACTTCTTAGAACAAGCCCCTGCCCATCCACTCCGGCCACTCTGCAATATTTGGCTTTTCCACAGTATTCCGTGTGCTCAGGGTCCCCCTGCCTTTGCCCAAAGTGCTGCTTCTGCCTCGAGCGCCCTCACCCTCTCTTACCCCAGTCCCCATCACTCTTCCCCTCGTGTAGGGGACACACCACCCATCATGCCAGCGGGTGCACGGGCTCCCAAGGACAAGGATGACCGTCAGACTGAGTGGCCAGCCCCGAGGGGTCTTCTGTCCACGGTCCCAGAAAGAGGACGGTGGGACTTGTGGAACATGGGATGAGCCCAGGGCAACCGCCAGAAGAGGGCCAGGAAGCTGGTAGGGTGCTCTGGGACACGGGTGCCACACCCAGCAGTCCCCCAAGCCAAGGGACCCAGGAACAGGGCCAGGGCAGGGGAGTGGCTGCAGGGCCGCCGCGGGGCACTCACGCTGACGTGCAGGTGCTCCAGGAAGTACTGCAGCAGACAGGCACTCAGGCCAAGTGCCCGCACCCTCTCGTGGCCCCGTGGGGACTTGATCCATGGGCTCAGGTGCTGGGGAAGAGGGGGCCTCACATAGGTACCAGCTCAGGCATTAGCCTGGGAAGCAGGAGCTTGTGCGACGCGGGCAGGCCAGCATCCCCACCGGCCAGCCTCCCTGGCTGCGAGGGCCAGTGGGTCAGGTTGGAGCAGGTCACCCGCTCCAACCTAGGACAGAGCTGTCCGCAGACGTGGCCGCCCTAGGTGGACCCAGAGTGAGCCAGGCCCAGAGAGGGACAGGCTGAGAAGCAGGTCAGTCCCACCCCTGCAACTGCTAGAAAGGGCAGCGAGGGGGGCAGCTTGGCTACTGCCTGCCCACTCTGCCATCCGGACAGCCCTGGACGGTCAGGAACTCCCACCTGGGGTGCCTGCAGGCTCTCTCCATCCCAGGGCCGTGCAGTGGAGCGGAGGGGAGTAGAAGCTCCCATCTGGGCTCAGCCCATCTGCACACCTGCCCAGGAAGGAGGGGGTGCTGCCCCCTGCCCCCACCACGCACTTGCAGAGAGCACCGAACTCCCCAGGGCCCCCGTGGCAGGGAGAGCCAGGAGAAGCAGGCAGGGGGCCGGCGGCCAGGTGGGCGCCCCCCACCTTGTGCCCCCACCCCCGGGCAGCGCACACTCACTGCACACCTCCACCATGGTCTGCAGGCCCTGGGGGGTCATGTTTCGCCGAAGGAGGCTCGTCAGCACTTCCTCAAGGGTGTGCATGGTGTCCAGGTACAGGGACTAGAGGAGATGGGTCCCAGCCACACCAGTGAGCCTGGCGCATCCCCCGCGGCCTGCCCGCTGCCCCCCACGGATGCAGGGCAATACCTCCTGGTGGTCACCCTCCCCCTCGGGCTCAGGCGGCACAGGCAGGACACTGTGCAGACAGCTGTGGATCATGTCCACCTGCACCTGCTCATCCAGCGCTGGGTCCAGGGGGCTGAACCCAGAGTTAAGGGCCCCAGGTCTTTCTGGCCCCATGCACGCCACACCCCTCGTCCAGAGAGCACATAAGCAGACAGCCCCCCCGAGGCTCCCCCTCACACCCGGACAAAAGGATACACCAGGTAAGTGCAGGCGAGCATGGCCTTCTTCCGAATGGGCGTTCTCAGGGAGTCTTGCGGCTCCGCCTTGATGAACTCCTGGGGGGGCCAGTCCCGTGGCTCAGCCCTGGGCCAAAGCACCTGCTTTCCCCTGGTCAGCCATCTGCCTGGCGCTGGCTTTGGGTGCTGGGCCGACTGGGTGCTGGGGTCCCTCGCGGCACGTGCCCCCAGCCCCCCCGAGGCCTGCCTCCCCTGTCTGCGGCAGCGCCGTCGGAGCCCCCCTCGGAGCCGGCAGGCCCTGGCCAGCGCTCACCATCATCTGAGCCACCAGCTCCGCTTTCCGGGAGAAGTGGAAGGAGCTAGCCTGTGCGCTGCTGCAGATGGCCTGGCTGGCCATGCACACGCTCTGGATGAGACACAGCTTCAGGGCCGGGTCCTGTAAGCACACTGGGCTGCAGGAGGCCGCCCACGCCCACGCCCACAGCACGGCTCCGCCCTGACGGGGTGGCCGCCGAACCCAGAATGGGTGGCCGCCCGCGGTGACACAGGCCGGACCACATGGCCTCCCCTCAGTCCTCAGTCCGCAGCCGCACACGCTCCTCCCTGAGGGACTCTCAGGGGGCCTGGGACGGCGCCCCTGCGGCCCCCAGCTCTCTGCCTGGCCAGGGCAGACGGCGTGCTCTGCGTCCCCTGCACCCTGCAGTGGCTGGAGTGGTCTGTCAAGGTGGGAGGAGAAGGCAGCGCGCCCAAGAAGAGCCCTAGCAGAGTGGGGCTGACCCCTGCCTGTCCCACCAACTCGGCCTCTGGGGGTGCTCAGGAAAGGGGGTGCAGGGTGCTGTCCTGGGGACATGAAGGGCCAGAAAAAGAGACAACTATCAGAATATCCTGCCCCCCTGCCAACCCCGGGAGACCCGAGAGGGTCTGCTCTTCAAGGGAAAAGCCCGGCTGCTCCTATGGAGGTGTGACCACGTTAGTGCCAGAGATCCCTAAGAGGCGGCATGTTAGTGAGGCCAGAGGGCCTGACAGTCATCACTGGCTTTAGAACTCACCGAGAGGTGAGCCCCGTGAGCATCAGGGAGCAGAGCCCCAGCCCGAGGGCCTGCCACCCAGCCGCTCAGAAGTCCATCCTTCTGTCCACCCGCCATCGGGGCCCAGGCCAGAGCACTAGCTCCTGGGCCCCCATCCTGGCAGCAAGCGGAGGGCCGCTGCTCCAAGGTGAGTGGGGACAGGCCCTGGTGCGATGCTCCAGAAAGCTATCCCCGTGGACTGGGAGCAGGGAGCCCCGGGGCCTGTCCCCCTGGCTTCTGCCCCTGAAGCTCACGGCCAGCCCAGCCCAGAGAAGAGAGAAAAGGCATAGTCCCCACTTAACTCCTACACACTGTACCTTGGTCTCTACCTTTATTCCCAGAACCTGAACAACAAAAGTGACAGGAATTAACACACGCGACCCTGGTGGCAGCCCCCTCCAGCACCCCTGCATCGGCGGTGTGTCGGGCGCCCACCTTGGTGCTGAAGTACTGGAATATATTCCGGAGGATGTCCGACTCCACCTTGGCCAGCACCAGCTCCCGGGGGGCCTGCGCCGCCACGTGGCCGTAGCACAGGATCACGGTGCTCTTCAGCTTTTCCACCTCGTTCTCACTTCGGTCCTGAGAGGCCAGAGGAGTTGGCAGGGCCTCAGTCAGAGTACATTCCATGCCCCCCAACAGAGTCCCAAGGCCCTCTGGAAGAAGGGCAGAGCTGGTCAGCAACGTCTGAGGCATCACCGAAGGGGTGGACGGTGCCACCTGACCCCAGAGAGAGTCCCTCCGGCGGGGACAGCAGAACAGGACAGGCAGGCCAGGCTCGGGCCCGCTGGGGACCATGTGGCAGAAGGGAAAGGACCGAGTCGGGGACCATGCGGAAGGGAGAGTGGGATGAGAGGCAACAGAAGGGCCGGAGGCAGGGTCCCCGTCTCTCTCTGGTGGCTGCACTGCAGCCCCTCCATCCTTGGACCCCCCCAGATTCTGAAATTACAACAGGCACCGGGAGACAGAAAACCTGGCCACAAGGGCGGCCACGGAGGTGGCTGGAGGTGGCGGCGGTCTGTGCCTCCTGAATCGCGCTTCCCCAGGAATGTAGCCGCCACTGGCCCCAGGGGCAGAGGACACACAGGCAGCAGGAGGACAGGCCCATCAGAGCCCATCGCTAGCGGAGGGCTGCCTGCTCCTTGTTACCAGCTGGGGGGCTGCCCCCCACACTGGCCCCACCCCCAAGGAAGTGTGGACCACCCCCAACCTGCAGGGGACCCCGAGCCCAGGGAACTCCGGAACGCCCAGCCCCAGGGCCACAATCACGGCACCAAGGCCAAGACACAGCACAGGCCAGTCCCGCCCCAGATGCCCCCCTAGCTGTCGCCCCGACCCCTGTACCTTGAAAATGTTGAAAATGCCGGTGGATTTTCTGAACACATCCGACCTCATGAAGTTCTCCAGCTGGGCCAGGACATCATCCAGGTGAGAGATGGCACAGATCCCAAAGCAACAGGCGAGGCCCTAGGGAGGCACACGGGTGCGCTCACGCCTGGGCCAGGGCACACACATCCTTGCACACACAGGCACCGTGCAGGCGCTGAGTGCCTGCGGGGGCGGAGAGGCCTCCCGGGGGGGCGGCAGCCACCTCACGCTCAGCCTCCTCCTGGTGTCTGGCTGTCTCCAGCAGCTCCTGCAGCTGCTTCCTCACCATGTCCTTGCTCGAGGCGGCACCCAGCGTGGTTCCAATGCATTTATACAGGAAGTTCTGCAACAGAGCCGAGGAGCACGGCTGTGCCTGAGGCCCGGGTGCAGGAGCGCCAACCAGACGTGGTAGGGGCTGCCGGGAGCCCACGCCAGTGGCCACCACAAAGACCAGGTGAGTTCTGGGCAGCGTCTTGAGGAGCAGGAGGTGGGGAAAACGGGCTCGTGCCTCTCCCAGCCGTCAGCCACCAGGCGGAGGCTCTGTCAGGCCCACAGGCCACCAGAGACAGGTTCAGGCAGAAAGTGCCCCAGAGTCAAGGCACAGGAAGTGGGGAGCCTAGGACCACACCCAGGACCCCTCCTCCCGGGGCACCCCCCCTGCGCACCTTCTCCTGGGGCTCCGCGTCATAGCAGGACAGCTGTCTGCACATCTCCAGGCTCAGCTGGCAGGTCCACGTGTTGTCAGACGCAACAGCCAGAGTGTCCCGAAGGAACTGCAGGCAGGGGCCACGGCGGTGAAGGGCTGGGAGTGCGCCCTTCACCGGGCTGGCTGGGGAGGGCAGAGTGTCCCGAAGGAACTGCGGGCGGGGGCCACGGTGGTGAGGGGCCGGAGCACAGCCTTCACCGGGCTGGCTGGGGAGGGAACTGGGGCCCAAAGACATCACATGCAGTGACCTCGGGGTGGTCGTATGCCGTGGCTCTGCACAGTCTGCAGACGACCTTTGAGCCTCGGCAGGGCACACCCTGGGCGGCCAAACGTGCAATGGGCCAGGCAGGAGGCAGGACAGAAGGCTCCTGGGCTGGAGAAGCTCAGAGCCCCTGTAACACGGTGGCCCTGGTCTCGGCAGCGTGTGCAGTGTGTGAGGGCGGGAGACAGTCCTCACCCCAGAGACGCCCACCTGCCGCCCCGCCCCGCCCCCAGCCACACTGCAAGGTCAAGGCGGGCATCACGACCCTAGAGGTGCCCACTAGCATGTCCTGCCCTGAGCTGTCCCGACCCACGACAGCCCTGCACGCCCAACACAGGCCACACCCTCGGTCTCCCCGTTCTCACCGCCAGGAGCTTCTCCTCCCACTCCTTCTGGGACAGGGTTTCTTCAGTACATTCTGAAATGACCAGTCACGTGGTCAGCCTGGCCCGTCCCGGCAAGTAGGAGTGGCATTCAGAGACCCAGGCCTAGGTCCCTGCCCAGCGCCTTCCAGACAGGTCGCGCCCTGTGTTCGGGACAGGCGGCTCCCACAGCCCAGATGCTCCTGGGTGACACCCAGCAGGGACACCTTTCCAGCCCCATGTCCTTGAAACTCAGGGGAGGCCGTTTCTTCCAACTTAAAAAACTCTGGTCCCCAAAAGCCAACCCGGACGCAAACTGGCAGACATGGGGTCAGAGGGGGAGGAGGGCCACCCACGTCCCTGTGGCTCACCATCCAGATGCTCCAGCAGCAGGGGAACGGTGGTCGCCCAGCGCTGGCCCAGCGAAGGGTGAATGCTGTGATGCAGGACGTTCAAGAGGCGCAGCGCGGCAGCCCCGCGGCCGTCCGCCAGGTAGGGGTTGGAGGACACAGTCTGACGGAAGTACAGGCGGGAGCTCCAGGCACTCCAGGGGCCACCACGCCCCACGTGAGCCCCGAGAGGCTGCCCGATGGCGGGGAGGTGGGGGGCTCTGAGACACAGCTCCCCAAAACCCCACGGGGAGCACCTGACTGGCCCCTCTGCGAGACAGCATGAGGCCGGGACACAGGGACCGAGGGCGAGCCCACTCCGCCCGACTCCCTCAGTGTGCTGTGCTGGTTCGGGGCAGGGGGAACAGCCAGCATAGCACATGGGAGGTGATGCTCACCAGAAGTCTCGTGGTTATGGCGTAGGGCGAAGGGAGGGTCACTGGAAAGGAGGCGGTAGAAATTCTCAGGGGGCTGCCTGCCCACAGAGCCCTGGCCCCTGACTGCCCCCTGGGGTGGGGTGGGGTGGGGCGGAGGCGGGGGCGGGGCTGCTGGCGGGAAGAGGCCGGGTTCAAGGCGAGCTCCAAGGGCGAGCTCCGGGGTGAGGGATGACATGGTGGGGGGCAGGGCGCACCGTTGCTGCCGTACTGGATGAGGAAGGCATCGGCCCCCACCTCCTGCCTCTTCTGGGCCAGGTGCACCAGGCTCTTGCAGAGCGGGGTCAGCGCCCCCGTGAAGCGCACGGGTGTGAGGAACTTGAGCAGGTAGGGCCAGAGGACCTGGAGGCAGAGCCGTGGTCTGTCTGCAGCACCTCGGGAGTGCAGGCTGCAGGGGCAAACACAGCCAGGAGCTCCCCCCAGGCACCACAGGGGCTCGGGAAGGTTTGGGGAGGTGGACCGGAGCGCACCCCTGCCCCCGCGGCTTGCCCACCACTGGGTTCAACAGTCCCTGGGCCGCAAGGTCAGGAGGGCAGTGGTCAGTCAGGTGCCCTGGGCGCTGGCTACGGGGCGGGCGCACACACTCACATCGCTCATCCTGTCCACGGTGGTGCTGACCAGGTAGAGGGTACTGATGCTGATGGCCCGCACACTGTCTGTTGCGAGGTCCTCGCTGTCGGGGCCCAGCTTCCGAGGCTGAGGGAGGGGGGGAGCAGGGGCAGGCCATGCATGGGGCTGCACCGCTCTGCTCTCAAAGGCTGCTCGGTTGTGGGCTCGGGGCCATGAGGACACAGCCTGTATGCAAATAGGGCAGACCCTGCCCAGCCTCCATAGGGGATGCCTTGTCACCCACCATGGGCAGGTAACACACTCTGCACTAAAAGTGCCCAAGGAAACAAGACCAGCTGGCTTAGTTCCAGTCTCCAGAACGACAGAGACAGTGAGCTTTCCCTACCAGCCACAGACTCTGTAAGAAACCACTTTATCCTTGACTGCGGCCCTGTGACGTCCGTAGACATGGGACGGCCTGGTGGAAATGACAGTCACCTGGGAAAACCCCCATTTTCTTCCAAGAACAGGCTACAGCTTCTGCAGCCTGAGTCAGCTGACAGTTTCTCGGGAGAGACAGCGTCCACAGCCCGGCTCCCTAGGAAGATTCCTTGCAAGAAAATGACCTGTTTGCTACATGTTCTGTCTGAGCCTCCCATTCATGCTTTGAAATACCAAAAAGCAAACACTGAACAACAAAGAGAAATGGCCAAAATGCAATGGCTGTAGGAGACCCACGGCTTCTCCCTTAGAGATCAAAGGTCAAGTAGAGAAAATAGGGATGTTTAGGCCTGGAGTAACAAGTTCTAAAGCATGCTCTAAAAACATAGCCAGAACTTCATCCCAAACAAACATGAACAACTTAGAAAGCCTGACCATCTATTAGGTCAAGAAGAATATCTCAACAAACATTTTTTTAAATGATTTTATTTATTTAAGTCATGTCTGCACCCAGCGTGGGGCTTGAACTCACAACCCTGACATTAAGAGTTGCACGCTCCACCGACTAAGCCAGCCAGGCACCCTTGTCAACAAACTCTTAACAGCAGGAATAAACCTGGCCAGATTCACAATAGACAATACAGTAAAATTATAAGCCCACAATGGCCATGAAAAACTATTCACCTAGAAAAATTTTAATATCCTAAAAGAAATCTTCAACCCCCCCAATACTGGGAACTAATAGACTAAAACAGAGATCTTGATTCTCTCCAGTGTATGCCCAACAGCCCCAAAGTGGCTGTGAAAATGCAGAGGCCAAAATGGGCCAAAGCAGCAGGGGACCCAGCCTCCCAAGGCCTGTGGGAACAGCGCCAAGCTGGGCCCCTCACCGAGGGCTGAGGGCCGCAACAGCCGTTTCAGAGGCAAAGTGGCAGCATTCACTCACTCTGGCTAAACTCCAGTGTTGCAACCTAAACACAGAGTTCCAGGTGGGGACATATAGCTCTGAGCTGACCTGGGCAGGCAGGGTGGCTCTGTGGGCCTGAGAGACCGGGCCCAGGGCAGGCTCAAGGCCATGACATCGAGACCACCCAGTCACGCCTGTGTTTATGCCATCTACCTTGCTCTCCCTCAAGAAGAAACTTGGATTTGCTTAGTAACTTTTTCAATAGAAAAGCCCCAAAGAGAGCCAAGTATCTGTTCTGCCTCTCTCTTCTGAGTCCTGGGAGCTAAGGGAGTGAGGCACTAAAGATGTAGAGGCCCCAGCGCAGAGACAAGAGAGGTGCTCAGCCCACAGACTGAGACCCACACACCCACCCACGCACCCTGCTCCCCAGCTGGGGTTGTGCAGGTTCTGATGACCATGCTGCCTCACAGAAGGCTGATGGCTCCTGAGCTCCACAGCGGATAGGTGGGGGGCACCCTCTTACCTCCATCTCGGGGGGCAGCGCACACTGCTGCACAATGAACTCCACCATCGCCTCCCCTCCAGGCTGTTCCAGGTAGCCATGGTGGGCCATGGCGCTGATCACCTGCACCACGGCCCGCTTCACCTGCCCAGGACCAAGGGAGGTCAGACAGGGGCCTCAAGGAAGAGTCCCGGATGGTGCCACGACAGTCCAGTTGGGAGACAGGAATCTCGCTCTTCCCTCCCCTACACCCACATTTGTACCACACGCACCTGTGCCTGCAGCTGTGTGTACCTCCACCCGCGCCCCATCTACACCTGTATCTTTACCTGTGCCTGCACCCACCCCCACTTCTTCACAGCCCCTTGGCTGCATGTGTGGCCACCTCGCCAGCCTGTGGATGTGCTCAGGGCCTCAGTGGAAGGCCCCTTTTCCTCCTGTCCCCCATACCTCCCTCCTTCCCTGGGCGCGAGACTTGGTGCTCCTCTGGCTCCCAACGTGCTGTCCCCTCTGCCCTGTGCTTGTCCCACACTGAGCTCTCCTCAGGGTTGGCACCTCTCACGTGCCATCATCCCGGCTCCACCTCCCCCTTCAGTGCAAGGGCCCTGAATCAGCCGCTGTTGCCCCAACACTCCTGGGAGCTGAGCCTGCTGTCCAGCCCCACTCAATGGCCCCGCCTGGTGGCTCAAAGGTTCAGACAGGTCACTTTGGCTGAAAACCCTCACCCCCAGAGCTAGGGCTTCCCCCAGGCCCTCCCGCTTCTCCCCGAGCCCACAAGTCCACGGGCACAGACACCAGCCCAATGCCCCCCCACCCTGGAATCCTTCCTTATAAGGTCTCTCTCCTCAGGTCTAATATCACTGTCCCAGCCTCCTTGGCCACTCACAGCTCCACGCCATCCCCCATCACACACATGACCCGAATGACTGTGGGAAGGGGTAGATCTGGGGGGCGAGCAATGAGGTCGCATAATGGATGATCAGGCTCAGTGCGCCTGGCCACTGACATTGTCCATGGCACATGGTGGGAGCCCTTTCAGGGGTGTTCCTGAGCAACAGCACCAAAAAGGAGATTCTGGGGGCTGTGCATGGGGGCCTTGCAACAGACGTGGCCTCAGTGGTTTGGGATCCATTTCAGTAGTTTCGAAACTCTCGCAGAAGGTCCCAAAAACCAGGCTGCCTGGGATGAGTGCAAAGTCTGGAGCAGCCCCCAGGGACGGGCAGGGGCACCCCTGTGACCTGTGAGTAAGCAGGCCTGCCTGCCTATGGGGTCCCAGTAAGGGTCAGTAAGGGTCAACCCTGTCCTCAGCTGCTGGGAGGTCACCGCTGAGCCCGGGGACGTCCTGAGTCCAGTGTCCTTGTTCCCCTGGGCTCTGGGCCACACGGTATCAGCTCGCCCTCCCGAGGGGCTGGAGACTGAGGTCAGCCATGCGGGCAGCCGACCAGGTCTGTGTGACGGGCACCAGATAAAGACCTTGGACACCGAGGCTGGGGGCTTCCCCGGCTGGCAACACTTGTATGTGCTGTCACTTCGGGGCCCGCGACTCCACGGGGAGAGGGCAGTAGGGACCCTCCTGGGCCCTGCTCTGGGCACCCCTTCCCCTGGCTGATGGCAGTCTGGGTCCTCTCCCTGTGATAAACCGTAACTGTGAGCAAGACAGCTCTCGTGAGTTCTGGGAGCCCTCGGAGCGAGTCAGCGGACCCGACGGGGTCTCGGGGACCCCTGTCTCACTTCATACGCAGTTAACTGTATAAGGAGTAGGATGTGGGCGTCCTGGCTGACGGCTCAGCAGCACCCACACCTGCACCCTCCCTCTGATGTCCAGGTCTGGCTGAGTCAGGGAGGACCTCCGGCCCCAACCCAGCCATGCCTCCTGCGGCTGCTCCCAGCAGAGCTCGCGCTGACCCCACCATCTACCTTGCTGTTGGTGTCCAGAAGAGGAAGCCTCATGGAGGACAGAATAAAGGGCTTCTTAACTTCCATCTGAGAAGCTGCAAGAAACGAACAGATGGTTCAGTCTCCCCACCATGACCGAGGCTGGCTGGTCCGTCCACCCCCACGAGGCCCAACGCGCCATCGCCAGGGTCTGGCCACAGCCTGGCCTGCAGCAGGGGGAGAGGACGGCACTTAAGCAAGGCCCACCTACTTTTCTCCTGGGGACAAATGACCTTTTTCCCAAATAACATTATTTTGCCCAAGAAGAAGCTGAATGATAGGTAATTTAAGGCAGCAGGTAAGGGAGTGCCCTGAGTCAGGCAGAGCCAGGTTTGTGGGGCCCCCAACAGCACCCCCGTCCCGGCAGGCCTGTTAGCAGGTCTACATGGGCACTTTCCACACATTCCCGGCTGTGCTGATGCTGCTGGACTAAGGACCCCTCCCACCCGAGAACCAGCAGGGTCAGCCTTTGTCTCCTGACAGGTAAGCGGGGACCGAGAGCGGCTGTCAGGAAGTGGCCCTGAGACCAACAGGAATGAGGACAGAGACAAGAGTGCCCACGGCACAGGGACCCTTCGAGGCACACGGGGGGAGAGCACTTTATATTTTTAAAGATTTTATTTTTAAGTCCCCTCTACAGCCAACGTGGGGCTCGAACCCACAACCCTGCGATCAAGAGCCGCATGCTCCACTCACTGAGCCCACCAGGCGCCCCAGGGATGGCACTTTTATTCCACATGGGACGGGGTCATTCTGACAGCCCGGAGCCCGTCGGTCACGCCCACGCTCTGCCCCGTGGCGGCCGTGAGAAAGCCAGTGTGGGCTCCTGGCCACAACAGGAGATGTGCAAGCCGAGAAAACATGATTCTAGACCCAACTGTGAGACAAACTGCCCCTCTGATAAGATGCTGCAAAGGCCCTTCGTGAACACCCAGTAGGAAAGCAGAGCAGGAGCCACAGGAAGGTGGCAAAGGATTCTGCCGAGACTCAGGAGCGCATGAGGAGGCCAGGAAAGTGGCCACCAAGGTGGACAAGAGAAATATAACACACAACCAGAGGACTCATGTCTCAATGCACAAGGGAATCCCAGCAAGTTGATAAGGAAGACAAAGATCGATAGAAAACTGGACAAGAGACCTGACCGAGCCCCCACGGCCGACAGGAAGGCAAGGCTGCTGGACTCCGCCACCTGCTGGCCAGGGAGGTGCAGGGACAGCTGCCCAATCGGCAAAGACGAAGACGGGGCAAAGCCGCGTGAAAGTAAGGCTGCAGAGCAGCGGAAACCCTCAGAGGCGCTGGAGACCCAGGCACGCTGCGCAGACGGCTGGGCAGCGCTGGGAAAGCTGAGGGTCCGCACAAGTGCACCCACGCCCAGGACAGCCCGTGCAGGACGGCAACATGGAGTGAGGGGTGTGGTCCAGGCTGTGGGCTACTGGGTGAAGAAGCAGCGCTGACAGATGCCGCCGACCACACGGTGCTCTGTGAGCTTTCGTTCGTATTTCTATCTCCCAAGAAACAGTTACAAAGAGCAAAGAAGGCAAACAACCCAATAGAGAAACTGACGCAAGCAGTGAGCAGGGTCCACCAGGAAAAGGGACGAGGGGACACGAGGGCCCAGGGACGTGAGGGCATGGGCCGAGGACAGACGTCAATCCAGTCCCCGTCTTCCTGCCACACGGGAGACAGCACTCGACTCACGGTGCCACTGTCTGCAGCTTCGACTGGCTCCTGGGGTTTCTGTGAAGGCCAGCCATGAGCCAGGCCCTTACGACGTGCTGAGGGCGCAGCACAGAGCAAGGCAAGCATGGCCCGTCCCCAAGTGGAGACAGAACAAGCAGATGATCAGACCATCACACACTGTACGAATGTCATGAAAGGTGCAGACAAGAGGTGGAGAAGCAGACCACCAATGGGGGACCCAGTCTGGAGTGGGAGTCAGGGTCCAGGGGCTCTTCTGAATGAGGCACATCTGAGCTAAAAGCCTAAGGCCGAGAAGGGCCGGCCAGGCGGGGTGCAGGGGGAGGAGCCTCCCGAGCCGGGGCGCCTGCAGCGGCTGAGCTGAGAGCCCGCCGCGGTGGTGGGAGCGGGGCTGTCGGGGCAGCAACAGGTGGGGAGCGGCACAGCGAAGATGAGACTCCCTGCTCTTCCCACGGTGTTGATCCACAATGCCCAACACCAGGACATTCTAGTAAAATTACTGGACTTTAAAGAAAACGAAACCGGAGAAAAGAGTAAGAGTCAAGGCCTGTGTGTTCAGTCGGCAATGTCAGCGTGAACCCCCCGCACTCGCCCCTCCGTCTAGGGCAGCATTTCCTAGCTCGCTCTCCTGAGAGGCCTGGCGACCACCAACACATAACAAGCACCCCTAGCACCACACTACAGTCTCTAAGAACAGTTTCTCACTAAGGAAACAGGGCTTTTTGGAGAAATGGCTGATTCCAGGTCGGGGGCAAGAACTATCTGAGAGCCCAGAGCACCAGCTGCCGAAGACCACAGTGGCCAGGCCAAAGGACTCAGACCCTGAAGAGGCTCCCGCAGCCCGAAGATGATACAATTTGAGCTTCAATAATGGCAGTGACTGCAACCCATTCAACGTCACAATCCATGAGCACTTAGGATTCCTTTTTTTGAGATGTGACATAAAATAATGCCTTTTATTTTCCCACCCCCTCCCCAAATAACATCCTTTAAAAGCAAATATAACAGAACTTACTCATCCATCTGAGCCTTTAAGATTAAAAAAAAAAAAAAAGGAAAGTTACATTTAGAGGATAATAGGGAACCAATCTATTTTCTTGAAAACTGACAAAAAGAGCAAAAGACTCAATGATCAATCCTGCCTTCTTTACAGGAACCATGAGCTCCGGTTGGGCACACAGTACAGGAGGGAGGCATCTCTTTATCACGGTGTTCCCGTCAAAGAAATCACCGCAGTCAAAGCAGGACTGAGTCTGCCCCAGGCACTGATCACCGATGCAGCCAAGACCAGGGCAGAAGAGCGCCTGGGGGGCTCAGTCGTTAAGCGTCTGCCTTCGGCTCAGGTCATGATCCCAGGGTCCTGCGATCGAGCCCCACATCGGGCTCCCTGCTCCGTGGGAAGCCTGCTTCTCCCTCTCCCACTCCCCCTGCTTGTGTTCCCTCTCTCACTGTGTCTCTC